CTCGCATATTTAGCATCTTTATACTGTTCCCAGTTTGAACTTTCAAGGCACAAATAAAAATCTGAAAAAAGTTGATTTTTGGTTTGTGACTTTAAGTGTGACTCAAGCTTGTTTTTTTGCATACTAAATTTCCTAGGTAACCAAATTATCGAAAGTAACTCACTGCAAGTAAAACACACACACACACATATACGGACATCTTAAAACGATAATGCTTATTTGATCAAGCAGAAACACATTTGAAGAGGTTGTGCGCTGTCTTTTTTTTCATTGAGGATTTCGGTAAGGAGAGGGGAATACTGAACTGGACTGCTAACAGACAAACTGCTGAGGAAGCTGAATCCATACTCCAGTTGGCCAAAACTGCAAATATGGGCAGATTTGAGGACATCCACTTTTTGTCACTTGGAAGTGTTTAGTTTGCCCAACAGTCCTTTCGAATTCTGGATAGGTCGTTAAGCAACAAATCTATTAACAAACACACCTCAGAACCTTTTTCTTAGATCCTGTAAATTAGCGAATCATTAATTCAATTAAGCACTGAAGTTATATGTGTAACTATAGAACTCTTTGTAAGAAAAAGGCGGATTCGCTCGGAAATATTCCGAGGGTGGCAAGTGCCAGTAGCTGTCACACGCTGGCAAGGTCGCCGATGCCTCCGTCATTCGAGAGTTGTTTACTGATGTCGGATAAGTAGTTATAGTGATTGTAGGTCTTCAAAATATGCCGAATTAAAAGAAAAAAAAAGTGTATTTGACGAGTAATTTCCGAAAAGATCAGTAAAGGTGCTTAAAGGCCTCTAAGAAATGCTAAAATAGCGATGACGGGCTTTAAATTATCACAGCTCTGAATAATTGTTCTTAGATCCTTGGTCAGTAAGGTACCTAACTTATCGAAGTTGGTGAGTAACAAAGTTCTAAATGAGATGGCGATGGTTAACACATATCTGTAATATCTCGAAACAAGGCTGAAGCCTTGTCAAAGTTTTTGCCAGGAGAGCTATTGAGCTAGCTAACAGTTCCTTCAGAAGACGAAACGAATGTCAGGGTTGCGAGTAATCAGGGTCCATCAGGCAATGTAGTATTGGCCAGAGCGACTGAAATAGCTGTTAGCTGCACAGCTAGCGAACGATGCTATAATTTACGGCTGGTCAAATTATGTTTTTGAAAAGTGTTCCAAAATTTACCGCGCCTGACTAAAGTAGTGGCCGTCAAACTGTCGAATGCAGTAAACTTTACGTCAAATGCATTCGCAGGAAATGATTCAGAAGCTGTTTTCGTTCACTTATCCATTACCCGGCTCACATCCTCGAAAAACCAGCGAAAATGAATTTGCCTTAAAAAGCTGGTAGTTTGGTGGTAACAGTTCTTTGACTGGCGATTTGGACTCAAAATCCGCCTCGTTTCATTTACTTTTCGAAAATGATTTGCAATTCCAGTAGAATTTGCTGAACAAGATCCCGGGTTTTAGCTTACACTGAGATACTGATGCTGACCATTGGGGATGTCCCAAATTACTCTCGCCTGTAGTTTGTTCTAAATTTGAAACTATTTTGAATCTAGAAATGGAATTCAGTACTTGTTGCACGTGTTATTGCAGTTATGAAAAGTGGATTTGAATGAATAATAATGGATCGTTCAAAGTTCGGCCTCGATTTGACGATGCTTCAAGATTTACCGCCAAGAGTGCCAATGACCGATGAAGAGGTTCACCAGTAGTCTGTTTTGTAAACTAGCAATTTTGGTCGAACGACTAGCTCTTATATTTTGATAAGCTCCCATAATTTTAATTAATAACACTTAGAGGGCATCTGATGCCACGTACGTTTCGAAACAGTTTAGGAGTTGCATCACCTTACCCTGCTCAGGACAACCTCAGGAAAGGAATATAGGCAACAAAGGCCGGAGTTTATGGGAGCGAAGCCTCTGGTGCAGGCACCGAATCCTTCGCAAGATCTCCCTCAGATGTGCTTCAAGTTTTAGGAGTTAATTTTTTCCTCGTTTTTAAGCTTTTCTGTCATTTCCGCTAATGTCCGGAAAGATAATTTCAAGGTAGCTCTGGAAGCTGGTGAATTTGTATTTCACAATACCAACAGTGCTAACTGCATTTTCCGCCAACATCATGACCTTTAGTAATCTTTAGAAACGCTAATGGAATTTAAAGTGTAGCACTAGGATGAGCTCTGGGCAGGACGGATTAAATTCAGTAAATCGCGTGGGCGTGATTCACAAAAATTATTGGATTAATTCCCCATAAAAAAATCGGTTCAAAAAGAACCATTTTTATTCTCGTGCTTGTTTCTCATTTCTATTCAGGAATTATTAATATTTCTGTTCATCTGATTGAATTTTTGATTTTTTTATTTTTTATGTATATTAAATGTGAAAAAATCGAGATATTAGGGACGGTGTTTATCATCACTAGTGTCTTCATTCACTCGGAAAAATGACTAAAGCCATCTCTAAAGCGCTCTCTGGAGTTCTGTAATTTTTTCTGGGCTGCGGTTAAAACCTCATAATCTGTCTCGCTTATCGCAAATATTTTCATGCATCATAAAAATATTCTGTAAAGGTGGAAGAGAAATATGATTCAATACGACAGAGATCCGGAATACTCACAATAATGGGTGTTGTGCACAAGGCACAGCTCAGTGATATCGTTGAAATTGCGGAACTTGGGCGTGGCTCATTTGGTGTGGTTCGCAAAGCACAGTTCAAAAAAACAAAAACGCTTATGGCTGTCAAAGTAAGTTGCTTCGTTTTTATGCATCGCGTAAAAAAAAAAAA